GGGGGGAGAGGGGAAAAGTGTGGATGGAGTTTGAACTGGATATATGAGTTTATGAATTAGCAGGGTTCGTTTCAAAACCCAACCTTCTCCTCGAAAAATTTCCGACACTCGTAGACGGCCATGTAGGGAATGACAAACACCGGATGCACAGATCTAACCACATCACCATCATCCCAAACACTATCCTCTGCCTCGTACAAGCCCTCCGTCTTCCAGTGATAGGGCGCACCGAGCGCGCCAGTACCCAGTCCCTTGTTCACATTGCCATCGTACGCATACCTGTGCTGGGCCGCGCTGAGGCCGGCCAGATTGTAGCACGTGTGGTAGGCGTCCGAGTATTTCCCAGGCTTGTCCTTGAGCCCGCCCTTCTTCTCCTGACAGCAGGCGAGAATGTAGCGGGCCAGTGCCGTGCGGTTCCAGAGGCCGGTTGTCACGGCCGCTTCGACAATCGACCAACATCCGCCTACCCAGTGGGAGTAGCAGCCGTCGACTAGCTTGTTCGTTCGGCCGTTGTATCCGCCTTCGGGTGTGGCTTGTCGGGACGAGAGCCAGTGGATCAAAAGGGGGAGGTTTAGATATTTTGGCAGTGTTTCTTCTGGTGGTCCGATGATGGCCAGACAGCCGAGACCGCAGAATGCGTACGCGCCGTGTGCCTCGTTTCCAGGTGCGGCGGAGATGCCGCCATCCCAGGACTGGCATTTGGATACCCAGTCTCCCAATCCGTCGGTGAATTTGCTCAGACCGTGTTTGCGTGCTGGTGACTCGGGCGGTAGGTCAAGAGGCAGATGGAGAAGAGAGAGTACGACTACGGCGCAAAAAGCACCACGGATGTCTTCTTCGCCGCCTTCCGCCATGGTGAAGCCACCGTCTGCTTGCTTCATACGGCCAAGAAAGTGCCAGAGTGTTTTGCGATTGATCATATTGTAGGTCTCCGTGCCGCCGGCCATTGCGACAGAGAGTACTGCAGAATAGGTGCATGCTAGATGGGGAAGTTGACCGTAGCCTCCTCCAAAGCCACCGTCAGGATGTTGGGCTAGAGAGAATGTGTGCGCGACTCTGGTTTGGTACTCGGATATGTCCATGCCCAGGGCCGTCAGCCCTTGCAAGCACCAGTATATAATCCACGGTCGAGACGCATCCATCAGTGCAAACTGGCCAGGATAATCACCCAGCATCTTCCTCAACATGGAAACATGGCGTTCACGTTGCAAGGCCGGAATGCCTTTGGAGTTGAGTGAAAAGTTGTTTGGATTGCCCTCCAGATAGGGAAGGATGATTTCCTCCGTCTCATCCTGCGTAATCGATGTTTCGGTGGCATATGCGTCTCTGATTGGTATTCTCACAGACTCAAGGTACGCAATGTTGGCCTGCTCTTCCATCGTGACAGGGCCCATGTCTTCGTACTCGTCGTCGTCTGTGCTTGAAAGTTCCTCGACACGGTTGGTTGGGGGCAGGATTTCTTGCAGGCGAGGCGTCGCAGGCGTATTGGTTCCGTCTCGTAGAGGGAGAGCCATCTCTTTGATGTATGTGCCCTCAGATGTCCCAATATGGTCAGGATCCAGATGCGCGGCTGTGATAGGCTGCTGCTAACAATGCCGTCCTTGTTGGCCACTGCTTGGTATTGTTCGTCTGGTTTTGCAGCCACGGGAACAAGGTAGATCAGATCACCGCATGTTGTGCGAGAGTGAGCCAGTCATTCACGTACTTGATCCAGAGACTATCGCTTTGTCACCAGGTAGTAGCACTGCTCTGAAAGCAGTGGGTAGGTAGGGCGGATGACGATGGATGTAGCCCAAGATTTTCCCCTTGGCGGGAGTCGCGACACGGGAGTCGGACACTAACATCGTTAGGTACGGTACCGGTAGCAGGTACGGTAGAACCAATGAGGGGACCTTTAAGTTGCGACCACCAAGGCTCGCCAACCGCACTTCACTTGTACACACTACTTCATGAATAGAATATTGGACGTTATTCCTCTCACGAAAGCAGCTGCTTATATACAAAACCCCAATTTAATCCGAAGGCCGCACCCCGGCCATGCCTGCCAGTTCCTCGCCAATCGCCGTGCCCGCCACTTGCACGGGCTTACTCTCCTGCAGAACAAACAACATGCGCGTCCAGTCGGTTTCATTGTGATTGATCCACTGATGCATCGTCCCTCTCTGGATGGCAACATCTCCCCTCTTCATCAACCTCTTCTCTCCGCTGTCCAGCAACAGCTCGACCTCGCCTTCGAGCACGCAGCCATAGTCCAGGCTCACGGTCCGGTGCATGGTACACTTTGTGCTGGGAGGAATGTCGACGTGACGAAGGACGGTGCCGCCCGAAACTGCGAGGCCTGGTGGGCTTTTGAGGTAGTCTCCGTACACGTCTAGATCCTTGTCTTCATTCATTTCCACAGGGAAGCCCTTTGTGGTGTAGCTTAGTGCAAAGGCAAGGCCGTCGTCATTTGGTTTCATTTTGCTCTCCTCGTCAAAAGCTTTGCTGAAGATGGCTTTGCCTTGGCTGTTGTGGGCTGTGATATAGCGATGGATTTTGGGAAGAGCTCCGATGTGTGCCATGATGGGTGCTGGCCAGGATGACGGCGAGGGTAGGGATCGAAGTGTAGAATGGGTGGGGCGAGCAGGATGAGGTGAGAGGGAGCAAAACAAGTACAGCTGGTCACAATGCAGAAGCGGGAGGTTGTATACTACTGCCCCGCGAAGTGATGTTCTGCTCACGTTTCACAAGACACGGCAGACAATCGTGGAGCTCGGAGTCCGGCTGTGGGGGAAGCGTTGCTCTCCGCAGTCCGAGTCTAGGCAAGTAAAAAGAAGTTCATGTTGGGTTGTATAAGGGCAATGATGCTGATGTTTCATTTGAAAATGGGGATCCAGGGGGCGGCTCCATGAGAGATGTGGTCATGGTCTGCGTCATGATGTCCTGTTTTTGAAGCCAACAGGGCGGGTGGACGGGTATATGTGTGGGAGATGACTCCCTCCTGTATGCTATGGTTATCAGATCTCGAGTTTCTGCGTAAGTAGAGGAGCTGTCTGAATGTGATGACCTGATTAGCGTGTTGGGTGTTGGGTGTTGGGATAGGATAGGATAGGATAGGTAGATGGACCTCGAGCTAATCAAGATGTGACCTGCGAAGCACACTAGGTTGTAACAGCTCGCTTAGCCGCCTTGGGTCTGGGGAGATGAGGTGGTGAGATATTAGCAAGTATGCAATGTGGTGTGTCTGCGTTGCCATGATGTCGGAACTGTGTGACGGAGTTGGTCGGCGAGTCCGAGGCAATGTACCTATACATGACTATACTAGAGTACAGGATGGGGAGACAGTACACGATACTATGTACCTGTATCCATGAGGGTGGCTGGGCAAGGGATGGTCTACTAGAGTAGAGTACTCCATGGTCCCATCGTGGCCAGTGACAGGAACAGGATGGTGGAGGACGCAAGGCGAAAGCACGAGGTGGGACAATTGTGCCAACGTTGTTGCACAGAACGCGCTGCATGACATGCGTTGTGTTCCCGCTTCCGAGAAGAGTGCAGCGGAATGCAGAGTGCCAGCCTGGAACCTGGCTGGGTTTGGGAGACGTGGTGATGGGGATGGGTTTGGCAGGCTCATGCTGCGGGAAAGTCGATGGTCGGGTCGGGACAAAGTTTGGTACGTCTAGGATATACAATAGTCTGTCAGGATGCAGTATGCTGACGTCGATGCAGACATGGTATTGTCCAGTGGTCAGAGCACATGGATCATGGGCTGGAAGGGGCAAGGATGGGTGGGGTGAGCGTGTTGGTAGTCGTAGGCACAGTGGTAGTAGAGTAGTAGGTACGGTGGTTGAAGCAGGTTAGACGAGGTTGCTCGACCGTCAACCGGCGGTACCCTACTCCAACTCTATACATACAGTACATGGTAGAGTACAGTACTAACTCTACTCTACACAGACAGCACCGAACACTCTATCTAGACTAGTGATTTGCAGTGAGGCGAGTAGTATGGCCGAACCCAGCCCCTCTGCTCTTCTCTCGGGGGATGGCGGAACGGGGTCTCGAACGGGGGGTGGAAAGGATGAGTGATGGGACGGGTTAGTGATGTGGGTGTTTGTGGTGGTGGCGAGCGATAGGCGGATAGGCGGATAGGTGGATGGGCGATGGGGCGATGGAGGGGGGAATGGGAATGGCGACAACTGTGGATGCGGGGAGCTTGATCAGGGTATGATTGGGGGAGAAGGAGGCCGAAGAGGGCCCATTCGAGGCGCAAGACTTGCGTGTCCAGTCAGTCCAGTGTCCCCCCCCCTTCCACATCCTCCACCATTTCGTCGTCGTCGTCGTCCTCCTCCTCTCTCTCGCGCGCGCTTTTGGCTGACAGGGACTGGGCGTGGATGGTGGTGGTGAGCATGCATGTTGTGGTTAGTTGGTTGGTTAGTTGATTGTGTCAGTTGCCAGTGCCAGTGCCAGTGCCAGTGCCAGAATGTACCCTCTACGTATGTACTATGTATGTACTATGTATGTGCTATGTATGTGCTATGTATGTACTATGTAGGCTGCAGGTGCAGGTTGCAGGTGCAGTCCAGGCTTGCTGGCGAGGGGCGGGGAGATGTCTAGTCGTGAGCTAACAGTACTCCATGTGCCTAGAGTAGATGATGTGCGGCGGGAAGAGGCTGGTCCCTCAGGAGTTCAAGAGTCAGAAACCTCCTCGGCCGTAGATCTACCGGGTGCACACCAAACCATCAAGGGAGAGACTGATGCTGAGAGACTGAGAGACACGGACAGACAGACAGATACTGAGAGACTGAGAGACACAGATAGACACAGATAGACACAGACAGACACGGACAGACAGACAGACAGACAGACAGACAGACAGACAGACAGACAGACAGACAGACAGACAGACACATGGACAGACTGAACAGACAGTCACAGGCAACCTACACACACATCAATGACGAACCGAACGAACCCCCTTGTAAGCAGGTCCTGTCCAGATGGTGTTCCTCTACTTGGCTCCGCACGCATCCTGTTTGCTCCTAGCTAAGTCGAGGGCAGTACATACTACATGGACAAGGACTTGCATGGTGAGACTGGGTTGGGTAGTAAAAGGTGGTGTCTAGGTACATGCTGCTGTGTAGTCTTAGGTCCATTCATACTCTGTAGTAGGAGGTTATAGATAGACATTAGGATGCTAGTAGATGGTAGATGGTAGACGGTAGACGGTAGATGGTAGATGGTAGACGGTAGATGGTAGATGGTAGATGGTAGGCATGATCACGCTGCAGTGGAGCTGCTTGCCAAGTTTGGCGCCCCCTCCCCAAAGCAACCAAAAAGCCACCAAAGCCCCCCCAAAGCCTTGCCCGGCTCCAAGGTTGAAAAGCCCCCAAAAGCGCCCCCGACTGGCGTGCGTCTGGCGTGCGTCTGGCGCCACGGCTGTGCCGCTAGTCTCCGTTCGGCCCAGACGGCGGGCCTGCGATTGGCAAGTGTGGGGATGCGAGTCGCACCTGCCCTCACCGCTACTTTGCTGCCCTTTTTTTGCCCCGGCCTGCCGCTGGGGAAGAAGGAGGAAGTCTGACCGCTTTTGCCCTTCTCTGTCCCTCTGTCCAGCCTCAGACTGGCCGACAGGAGCCCATCCTCGAACTCCCCCCCCCCCCCCTCCCAATCCAACCCCATTAAACCCTCCAGGCTATCCAACCAAGGGAGAAGC